AATGTTAACCATGAAATGCAACACAAAAAGCAAATTTTAAAAAATACTTCCATTAACAAACTATATCCCATACGACTAGATATACTAAAGGCTTTGAGATATCATTTGTTGAAAGATATTTTAGAGATTTAGAAATGTTGCGATCCCTCAAGTCCCAGCCCATACACATACCTTGCTTCAATTCCTTGCATGGTTATCTCTTGTTGTTTTGATTCCACCATGTCATGTGTAAACATTGCATTGAAATATGGAATGCTGGCTGCAAGTACAATCCGATGAGCAGAGAATTTGTTGTCTCCAACCTAAAACATAAGGGATGGTTTGAGACTCTTTTATTGCGTTTGTGTACTTGTACTATGTCATCATTTGTCACATAGCTCTATACATCAATAAGTTAGCAAGCTGGATTTCTAATGCAAGGTCCTGGGATCAAATCATCAATCCAAGCATTTGGCAAAAGGGGCTAGCTAAGCCGGGGAGCTAGCTAATGTTAACTTGAGACCAGAGAAGTGATTACTAGAGTGGTGCTGACTAAAGAGCCTGGCGCTGGCAAGAACTTTCTGTGGTTTTAGCCAGGATAAAGACAGGGAACTGTTTCTGCCTTCAGATATCAAGTTAAATTATCCTACCACACATAATGTAATCACTTCGAGATTTTAGATAATTTTTGGCCTATAGGCCTAAAAGCAAAAAATTGATTTATTCGTGCATTCTATCCTTGAGAGTTTGTAGAAAAAAACGGGTACTGGGTACCAGGTAGTAAATCCTCCATGCTGGGTTCAAACTTGGTACCCGGTAGCCGGTCGAAAAAAATACCCAAAAAAACGAAAAAATATGAATATATAACATACAAGGGGCAATCCATATATTCTGATAAAAATGCTCTCATTTTGTGATTTTTTCACATATCCCTCTTATTTTTTCAGAAAATGTAAATTATGTAATTACACATACAATGCTAAAATATTATAGCTATATCTTAAATTATCAATGAGATAAGGTTGCCATGGTAACCTGTATTAAGGGTAGGCAGGTCAATTAAACTATATCATATAAATATCATAATAACTTGATATTTTAATTATTTTAAAGCATGCGGAAATCATGCATTTTTCTAAAAGAGTTTGGTATTTTTACTCTTTGTTTGTTGCTAAACAAATGTTTATATGTGCTCACTATAACATCACAACAAATCACAATAGCATTGTAGGACAGAATGGGCCAATTGACATTACATGTTATGAGACACACCAAAAATCAAATTGTCAGATGAGGTTAATGTGGCTGATGCAGAGTGTGACATTAACGGAAACATTAGGGAATACAATTAGATTTTATTTTCTTTAAGAATAAGTTAGAGGACACTGTCAGAGACATGCATGGACTTATTAAGTGCATGGGCAAGGTGTTATATCTGCTATATTATATATGTTATATAGCTATCCCACTGTTTAAATTATCAAACAAGGGCAACAGGGGTATGGAACAGATCAATGAATAGTTGGCAATGTCTGGAAGATGCGTTTAGTCTGCTTAAAAACCGAGGAATGATTAAATTAACATATTTATCTATTTTTGACGTTATAATTTAACCGACCTACCTACCCTAAATACAGGTTACCATGGCAACCTTATTTCAAAATTAATTTAAGATATAGCTAAAATAGTTTAGCATCGTATGTGTAATTACATAATCTACATATTCTGAAAAAAAGAAAGGGATATGTGAAAAAATCACAAAATGAGAGCATTTTTATCAGAATATATGGATCGCCCCTTGTATATCATTAGAAAGCCTCTGTCGTTTTTACCCAATTTTTTGACATGAATGTAACGAGTAATATTTGAAAAACATGACAAATCAATCTTACTCTATTTTCAATAGTTCGTAGGTTGGAATGTGAATTGTTTTGATTATGATTTAAATCAGTAAATAGCTATCGTTACTTTAGCAGAGAGGTGACGTGTGTTAATTTACATGATGCAACGTGTAAGGTTTGTTTAGAATTTACAAAAATGTATGTAACTTCCTTCAAAATTGAGCTAGAGTAGATTTAATGGTCATGGTCTAGACTCCTAATCTTCAGGTAAATCTTATTTTTCAATTTCTACCGACGAAGTCAGGCCATGAAATTTACTCTAGAAGCTTCAAATAAAAAGCATTTTAAGGCTCTTTTCTTCCTCTATCATCATGGTCATATTTTCATTGGTTATGGGGGGGGTGCGATTGCACCATCGCACCCCCTCCTGGCTAGGCCTATAACATTGTAAGACGTAACAATTTACACTTTTTTTTGGGTACCCGGTTTTTTCGACCGGGTACCAAGTTTGAACCCAGCATGGAGGGTTTACTACCAGGTACTAGACTATATCCTCAAGTCTGAAATTTTTTTGAAATTTGGAATGAAAATATTCAGACTATAGCCCACATATGTTAAAATTTGGGATTGAAAATTATTTGTTTATAGTGGGGGGCATAAAGAATTACAAAACATATGGAAATTACATGTTGTCGCATATGTAATAAATTACGCAGCAATGTGGGTTGGCTCCCAGAATGCAACATGACACGTGTCAGCTTTCAAAATGCCATTCCGCCGTTTTGAAATACGTCACGAATAAATAAGGTTACTTGATGTTGCATTCTGGGAGTCAATCCTCTTTGGATCACAAACATGGCGATTCATGAAAACATTAGTCCGATTTGGTAGGGATTTATCCATCATTTGCAGGTATGAGGCTTTGGATTCATTTATTGTGCTACTTAAAGTGGATGGGAATTATTTTTCTACCACTTGGGAGAGTTTGAGACATGAAACTTAGAATTTAGCTCATTGTGACAACTTTTGAGGGTTGAGATTTATTTTTGTCCACCACTTTACATAGGAAGTGCCATTCAAAATGGCCGATTGGGTAAATTAATTTGCATATTTGTTACTTCTCCTAGCTTTTAATTGTACCTTACTACTTAATTGAATTGTTATAATGCTTATTTTTGGGAAGTAAAGTTTCCTAAAATTGATAATTGTGTGCAGGAAATTTCCTGTTTTTTCCCACAGGAGGGACATAATGATCAATAATCGGGTCAATAATAGACTGAATTTTTTTGGGAAATTCAGTCTATTGGATATAGACTAACCAGGTACCTGGCTTTTTCTACAAATCCTATCCTTGAGATAAGAATCTCAGGAGTGTACAGGCAAATATTAGCCTATATTTTGGAAAACTGTGAGTACAGGATGGCATTAGTTTTCTGGTTTGTCAATCTAAGATCATGTCAGTTGTTGATTACAAGTTCCTAGGATCACAGATCCGGAGCCAGATCCACCCCCTATTGGTAGTAGGCTCAAAGGATAAATGTATATTTATTGAGCCTAGACACAGAGGAGGTAATCTGGCAGAGGTCCGTGCCTGGGATTAGGCTTATATTTTTTCAGCAAAAAAATTGCCTTTTCCAAAAATCACATTTATTATATTCTTTTATTTCTTAAAAACTAAAGCATCCCGAGATCGACTTATTATTTCAGAATATGAGTAATACCTTAAGAGTGACATCGCACAATTTCCCTTGTCTTCTTATATCCTCCATGATCGGAAAAGCCTGCATTGGAAGATCATTTTTGTGAAAAACAAAAATATCGTCCGCCATGTTGGATTTTGGGCTCATATGGACAACCACAATTTATGGAAGATGGAAAACGAAATCAATAGCATTATTAGAATATGGAGTATTTATATGTTTATATACATTACTGTAAAAATCTTTCGTCTCACTCCAGTACAACCCACCCCACAAATAAGAGTCTGATGGAGAAGTAGATAGGAGGGGGGGGGTTCCAGAGACTTGAAGCAAGACAGGAGTTTGATTCTTGCCCTTATCAGTTTCATACCTAACAGTTGTTACAGTTCTGACATTATTTAGGATAATCCTTTAATTTTAAGGGTATCTGGTTAAAAAATACTGGGAAAAGTTTTAGGAGGACTAGGTACCTAGCAAATGACTAAAAGAATTGAGGGTGATTTTATGCATAATTTTTGTATGCAAGACCTTGCATTTGAACTTGAGCTGACATTCTCATTCAAAGTCTCATTCAAGAATTTTGTGTTTAAAATCATCCACAAATGATTGAGCCCTAATCTTAAATCCTTTAGCAAATTTTGTAAATCTTTATATTTCTTACTGGTATGTCAACTAATTATAAACCACAAAATGACACATGATGCCTTAATTGAATTCAGCAATTTTTGTAAATTAGAATGTCCATAAATAGAACAGCTAGCTAAGAAATAAAACTACTCATTCACATAACAAATTGTCACCATCTAGTTGCTCACAATATAATGAGTTCAATCTTAGATTTGAGCTTCAACTTGTATATAATTTTGAAGAAAAATTGGACCTTTTTGACCTTGAGAAGGTCATTGAAAGTAAAGTGTTAATTCTAAAAATCAAATTTAAAATTGTGAGAACCTGTAGATGGTTTTGAAGCAAGTTGTTTTGACCGAAGAGGGCCAAATCTAAAGATTTTGAAGTCAGTCAGGTATTTGTTAAGTTATTGGGGGTTGTTAGAATTTGTTACAGACGCCAACCACAATCAAGAAAATGGAGACCATAATAATATGTCACCACTTTTGGTAGTGACATAATAAAATCAAGTTTTGCATTTACATTTGGGCAAAAATTGTTTACTTATAAGATTAGACTTCACATTCTAATCTTTCCTGGGGTTGGACATTTGGTATGGTATTTGACAACTGGACATTTGGTGGCTTGGCTGTTACTTAAATGTAACTGCCACAATTACATTATACAAGTAATTGGTATGGGAACATATTGAGATTTGACAGATTGGTATGGGAACATACTTATATCTGAGGGTTTAGCATAGTACCACTGTCAAAGTTTGTATACAGCGAATTGCTCCCCGAGGGGGAAGTAAGAAATGTCCATTGTCTGAGTTAGCCTAATTACCCAGACAAAATGAATTGACAGACATCAGTTTTTTTTAGCCATGGATAACAATCAGATTTATTCAAATGTCAAAGGGACATAATAATGCTAATGGCTGAATTATCAAAATAAAAAATACAGATTTAACATGTTAGAATAATTTATTTTAATCCATTTGTATATCAAACAATGGTAAAATGTAAGTTTTCTCAGATGTCAAACTTGTGTTACAAACACAAATTGAGTGTTACATCAAATCCCATGATAGATAAAAAAGAAACATTGTAATTTCTAGGCTCAACCTATAAAACAGTAAAAGCACCACATTTTAATTTCCACAATTTTCAAATAGATTTGTATTCATCCCAAACATGCTTTTTTCCTTTTCAATCTCTTAATCTTTTAAATGATTATAGCCAGCATACTTCTGAATTATCCTTTCTGTTTATCTATTCTGATTAATATATAGCAGGCCCGTGGCCAGGGGGAGGGGGGGGGGGGGGTCCGCATGGTTCGGGTGAACCCCCCTGGCCAAAAATTCTTACAAAATCATGCAGTTTTTCACCATTTTGCTCAAGTGATTTTAGCCATATTTGCGCCAAAATTGTCAAATGTGAACCCCCTGGAAAATTTTGAAACTAAACCCCCCCCCTTGGCAAATCCTGGCTACGGGCCTGTATAGGTTCAGTCTATGCTGCAATCTTAGTCTTTGATTCCTCTATTACAGGCCATTCTGTAGAATTGATATCAAAGTCTATCATATATTTCTCCAAGTTAAACCAATGTCCTGCTACTCCTACATCCACAAATCTGGTATTAAACCTATCTAGAAATGCAGGTTTCAAATGCTTACACTGTGTCTCATACAAGTCCACTTCTCTAGAGAAATTCGCAAACCATACAATAGTACACACTCCTAAATTGAAAAAGCGTAGCCTGCCTTCTTTGTTAAGTTTATTGATTTCTTCCATTTTAGCATTTGAGACTGGATTACGAGTCAAATCTCCGACTAATAAAAGTTCATCAGTGTTTGACACTAAGGTAGTTATAAAATCTTGTTTATTTGGTCTTGTTTTGATCATGTATCCTGAAGTACCAAGTAGAGAGAATATAAAGGCTGATTTCAAAGGCTTTGCCTTAATGTCTTGAACTGTTTCCTTCCCAACAGTAGCATAGTCATCTACGATCAGCTTCATGTAGTTCTCTGGAAAGATAGACAGAAGGATTTATATATTTTGTCCACCCATTAGATTACGATGTGATAGTTTGGGGCATGTATAATATCAGTATCATCAATCAGTGCAAGTATCGGAGCACTGGAATACTTCTTTTTTGAACAAGACTTGTAAATTGTTCATCGAGTGAATGTTTTTTGACCCATATCCAATATGGCAGTTTGCTAGGAGCGAGATACGCAAAGAACGAAATGAATTTTGAGAATGATTTAGGTTCGGAAACCTCCAGAGATTTACGAAAATGTCCAAGCAGAAAACTCCATATTGGAATTTGGCAGTAAAAGCATTCACTCAACTAACAATTACAAGTCTTGATCGAAAAGGAAGTACTTCAGCGCTCCAATACTTGCACGGAAGGATGATAATGATGTATGACATATAGTTAGAGAACAAAAGTAAGCCGCGGACCGACTTAATTTGTGTTTCAAAGGTCACTATTATTCAGCTGTCCATTTCTCCATTTGAGACCCATAAGTTTCAAAATCTAACATGGCTCTCGAAGTGAGTGATCTGTAATGACCTTCGATAGCAAGTCGCTACTACAGTCTCAGCTGTAGTGGCTAGCCTTACTTCCTGCGAAAGCTATGTGGATTTTGATATAATAGCTTTCCCTCGGCGCACTTGGACAGCTGAATAATAGTGACCTTGAAAATATGAATAAAGATTTCAGCGGCTTACTTTTGGTCTCTAACTGTGTCTCACATCAGTATCATCAATCCGTGCAAGTATTGGAGCGCTGAAGTACTTCCTTTTCGATCAAGACTTGTAATTGTTCATCGGGTGAATGTTTTTTCGACCCATTTCCAATATGGCAGTTTGCTAGGAGCAAGATACGCAACGAACGAAATGAATTTTGAGAATGATTTAGGTTCGGACAACCTCCGGAGATTCACGAAAATGTCTGAGCAGAAAACGCCATATTGAAATTTGGCAGTAAAAACATTCATTCGACTAACAATTACAAGTCTTGATCGAAAAGGAAGTACTTCGGCGCTCCAATACTAGCATGGAAGGATGATACTGATGTATAACATAGTTAGAGAACAAAAGTAGGCCGCTGATCGACTTTACTGTGTTTCAAAGGTCACTATTAATCAGCTGTTCATTTCCCCGTTTGAGAGCCATAAGTTTCAAAATCTAATATGGCTCTCGGAGTAAGGCTAGCCCTTATGGCTCAGGGGTAGAGCGTCTGACTCTGAGAGCGGAAGGTCCTGGGTTCGATTCCCGTATGGGGCATTGAATTTAGCACACTCTCTTTCAAGTCTAGTATCTGGCTCAGTACACTACAACTCCAACGAGCGTACCCAAGGTCGTTACACATCAAAATATAAGAGGCCACAGATATGATAGCTAAACTACAAAACAAACTAAAATATACAAAAGTTAGGACATGTATAAATGTTTCTATTTTTACATATACTGTTTCAATATGGTCCTTTGATTGCTTATTTTTCAAATTCACAGTAGCTCCAAACATTTTACTGTAGACTAAAGTCCATTTCACTGCTTCATTTCGTCAGTAGAACGGCAAAAATAAGAAATTGGGAGACCACTGTGCAATAATATATGGAAAAGTATATTCATACATGAATGACATTTGTATATTTCAGATTTTTTAGTTTTTTGTGCAATAAGCCTGTGCCGTCTTGTAATTTGAAGAATTTCAGCCATGTTAATCTTATTGAAAATAACATAGCAGAGAAACATCCAAATATACAGTTGGGGACAAAAATAAATGACAGGTCGATTTTCGATCACCATTTCCTAATTATGGTCGTCTGAAAGCCCATAATTTCCAATATTGTCTAGACACATATCCCTTAAAATTTGTATATTTCACATTTTGTATAATCTCATCCACTGATGTATGGCCTCTTGAAAATTCTCTTATTTTTAACATGGGAAATTCTCACTTCAGCAAATCCACCTGTCATTTATTTATGTCCCGAACTGTAAGAGGCCACACACTTTATAAGCCAAACTAGAAGCAATCAAAGATATACAAATGTCATTCATGTACATTATGGATATACTTTTCCATATATTATTGCACAATGGTCTCCCAATTTCTTATTTTTGCCGTTCTACTGACGAAATGAAGCAGAAATGGACTCTAAAAATTACCAAAGAAAAAATAAGAAAAATGTACAGTCAAATACTCGACAAGGATTAGTGAAATGGCCATTGAACTGGGTTCAATCGTAAAACTGTATCTTACTGAATCTCTGGCCACGAGTCAACTTCTCTGGATCTATATTTGTATTAAGAAATCGTCGAAAGACAGGAATATTTGTCCGAGAAAACATGACTTCCGGATTTTAATTCTTTACGGACTGAATAAATTCAAGTGACTTCATGGCACACCACATAAAACACAATTGTAAAGTAATGGATTGTGCTTGCTTGTACAATTGTATTCCCAGTATTGTACTGTAGATCTACAGTAGTATTCAGTTCTTCGAAATACTTATATTCATACTGGTTGGTTGCAGGTTAGACATAAGTATATCTCAGCAACACCCAGACACAAACCGCCTATTGACTGATTGATTAGTGTAATTGGAATTGGTTCATTGCTGGGGCCGTCTACTGGCTTGGCCAAGTCGGAATAGTTCTGTAACGTTTCTTGCATTTTGTACCAACGAGGGTTGGATAGATGTTTCAATTTGTTCTAATGAATTGGTTTATGGCTATTAAAACAATTATATAGATCCGGTTCAATACCGCCTAAGAACATTGAGGAATCTCCTACTCAGCGACTGAAAAAACTCAAAAGAAAACGGACTCAGTGACCATTTATTAGAGATTGAAGCAGGAGGATGCAAAAATAAAAATGTAAATGTACAAAATGTTCAGATAATTGTGTTGCACTTTGTTATGAGATGCAAAAACTAGGACTAAAGTGAGCGCCGTGACAGGCGCATTGTATAAATAAATATTTTCTACTATGACTGAGGAAAACATGCAATTAGTTTCTATATAGGCCTACATTACATGTATGTCATATAAATCAAATATGAAGGAAGTCCTGTATTTCATTGAAATATGCTTTAAAGAAAAGAATTCTATAACATTGCAACCATCACAACACAATGTCCAGTCTTTGTAGATTAATTGTAACTGTAATGCGCTGTAATGTAACCCCGGGAATGTAACTGTATTGAAAGTATAAATGTAGTTTGCACAGCCCATGGGTAGTCTGGCCATGCCCTGATAACACAGTGGCCGTGCCTTAATGGGCCTAATTCTAAATTCTTTAAATCGATGTCCATATCCGAGTGACATTTGATTTCAGATTTGACCTTTCGCTGACCTTCAAAAAGTCAAAAATTTGGCAGATTGCCTGTCTAGTTCTGAGATTTATTATTGAAATGAACCACCTACGACTGATAGATAGGCTAGCAGCACCGATGTAAAAATAAGTGAACGCCGGACTTGGTCAAAGTAATAATGGGGACACAGAACATGAAAATCAGTTTCACTCCAGTCTTGTTTTTGATAGACTAATCTGTTGTACATTTTGAAGGGTATGTTACGATAAGATAAGAAAATAGGACACCACACGATGTTAATCGACGAAAGTTGACTAGTGTGTTGTAACTTTGATAAATGCTTTTTTGGGTGTCTCTGCATTTCCTATGCTTTGAGTAAATGTAAGTCTCTAGTTTGGTTCGAAATCTGGACTCGATAGTACAAGAAGCACATCACTCGGCACATTGTCCACCGATGACACAATCAACTAAACGCTAAAACGGGTCTATGTCAAATGTAGGAATACCCGGGTAGGAATATAATTGCTGATGAAGACGAGGAAATCGTTCGGAGGAACGTCTCATCTCACCTCCAGGGTCACATGCACCAAAGCAATGACAAACGCAAGCGGTGATGTCAGCTATGATACAATCAACGTCAACTACAGTTACTAATTTTATAATATACAATCTGTTATCAGTACAATATTATTATTGTGACGCTGTGATTCATAAACACGAAGCACGCAGGATACCCGGGGCAGAACATAGTCAAATCCACAAACGCACCATGTTGGTACAGTTATAACATATTGCCATCTTTATTTAAATATGAAATTTTATCGATGCATAAGATCTATACTTGATCAACAATTATTTAGAATCTTTGTAAAGATGTCAGCATGAATGGGACATCTGAGTATTGAAAATAAGTTTTTTGAGAGGGTGTAGGGTCGATATTAATCTTCCATTTTAATCTGCGTGCCAACGTGTGTTATATTCCTCTATTTTGCTTTTTACAAAAGTGTTTCAACAATAATCACAGTCAAGTACCGTATATAAAATAAGCCAACAAGACCTTATCTATTGTAAGTCAGTACTTATTAAACCAAACTATTTTGAACATTACGAAATTGTGTTTTCACGGCTCATTATTGCCTTATACCATCAATATATTGTTCAATGGATCAATAATTTGGAAAAATAAAGATAAAAAGGAGTGACAATATGATAAATGAAGACATTTGAATGAGACACCAATACCAAGGCATGGAGTGTGAGTGGTACACGAGGCAGACATAAATATATCTTGCCTATAATTATTATCATTGTACATTGTGTATGATTATAAATAATGAACATATACATTGCCATCTCCATTGGGCTCAAGCTGTTCAAACATCCACTTTCTTTAAAGCTCACTTAAAATCCCGATACTATGAAGATTCGGCTAGACGAACTGGCAAATGAACCTTGGCAAAGATGGATCTTAAATATTTTGAGTGCGATGAGTCGTAAACAATAAATAAGCAGCATTGTCATATACAAGCGTATTTTACCACCGCTGTATGGTGTTAGATTGTCCATGTCATGTATATAGCTTATCCTAACGCTTTCTTCTGATTTTATCTGATCATGTACAAAAAGTCAATTTTTCATACGTCAGAACTTAAAGAATATAGGTAACATCTGGTTGGTTACAAATAGACAATCATAAATGTATTATCTTACTACGTTGAGAGACTAAAGGCAATACTTCTTATATGATCGCTCTCGTCATCGTACTTCAGCGACTCTCGAAGTCTGCAATCAGCATCCAAAGTGCACCCTACGTGTAAACCAGTAAATTATCAACTTGCTCGAGATGATAGATCTTTAATAGAGTGACGACATTCAAGTCGTGTATCTCGTCAAGCAAGGGAAGGCTGATATAGGTAAAATTATAAACATTTCACAAAACAGGATCCACCAAAGATGTTCACGAAAACAACGTCGACCTTATCGTGATCGAACGGAAAGCGAGGCACAAGTCAACACGCGAGTGGATTGGTCGTTACATCGCGAGAAACCGAAACCTGCTATATTAATAGTTTGAAATGTGGAGGCGTGAAGTTTTGGTAAAGAGGAGAGAGCTGACCAGAGTTCTGTAGAAAATCAGCTTCTGTATTTATTACCATCAGCAGCGACAAGCGATTGAGAACAGATTAATATCAAAGCAGAGTCGTTCATACTTACTACACCGTCACAATGCTCCAGTGCTTAGGGATCACACTCTTCGTTTTCCTCTATCCCATTCTCTTGCTTGGGACCAAGGTGGTTCATGCTGATAGGGAATATGTCACAAGGAACACGGATCATGGACAAGTACGCGGTTTCACCAGACACGTCCACGGGGAGCGTCGCGCGGAAACATTTCTGGGAATACCATATGCTGCACCTCCTGTTGGGAGCTTAAGATTTGAGGTAAGGTTAAAGATTTGTGATAAAAGTGCATATCAAATGCAAAATATTTATTTTAATTCGTAAACAATAATTTGTCAGGGGGTCAATAGGCGTAGATAGGCATTGTGAAACCCAGCACAATCAATGTCCTAAAATTGTGTTGTCAAAGCGTTACCTCCCTGAGAAACTTAAATATCACTAGGATACGACTTCAGAAATAACTCTGAATTCCTCATCAATGTGCTTGTTACTAAGGGAAGATTCTTTCACCATTGGGACTATAAATTATTACAGACTTCATATGTTAATGAAATCAATTGACAGAAGACCGGGCGTAACATCAATCAATCGAAACATACTTTTCCATGAAAAAACATCATTGTTAATAACTTTAGTAGTAAGCGTAACTCGGCATAAATCATTAAGCAACGGTGCTTCTGATGCACGTCTCAGAATATGACCATATCATTCTTATTTATCTCTTGCAACGATACGATGTATACCTACTTGCCTAGAAGACTAGCTATAAGGAGTCTTGGAGTTTTTTAAAACTAGTCTTTTATATAAATGTAGTGTTAAGTCAAAACGAAAGACGTAAATTTTTCAAAGCATTGTAAAGTAAGGTAGCGAAATTGAATATCGCGCACGTTGGGTAATAAAATCGCTATATAAGAGCAGATCAGATTGTAGATCTAAAAATTATTGTGCATACGAGCATCAATTTTATATACCTTACCAGGGACTTTGTGGAACTCATTCTAGTGTGACCAGGGGGGCTGACGAGGCACCTGCACCCACAGAGCCCACAGTATACACCGGGCAAACGCGAAGCTGACTAAAATATTGGCGTGGACACATTCACCAGGCTTCGTTGTTCAACGTTATGAATCTGCCTGTCGAAAATTCACGCGCTGTCCGTCCGTCCGTGCTGCGTACAAATTAATAAACATTTTTGCATTTTCACAAACTTAATTCCAAATTGATCTCATTTTATCAACAGAATAAATTTAAGATCGTAATTGAGACTTGATCATTGGCATGCTTTTTTAAAATACCAACATTTCACACTCTCTATTCTTTGCTTCCACTTTAAGCTGTCAAACTCAAGTACAACTGTACGAATACTATACACAATTGTACAAATCAAATTAGTAACGAATAAGCCTCCTATTTAACCTGAAACCTTGCTTTAAAAGAGCTAGCCCGGTAAGATCTACAATAAAAGTAGAAAGCAAATAATAATGATTTATGACCACACCTGGGTATAACCTGGATGGTAATTAAATCCCACTTATGCTTCCCAATATTGGAGCCTTGTTAGTAGGAAATTGCCTATCTGATGTTTTATATCATTCAATGTGAACAAAGATTGACGACTATTTTAATTAGATTCTGAGACCGTGGCTGATTGAAGAAAGATTTGCCATGGATTACCAGGCAAAAGTTGAGTTAAGAGCGATAGGGACTTGCCTAAATAAACGCAAATGAGAATTTATAGGAATGTTTCGCTAATTAATTTAGTAATTCGATGAAATTTCTACTGTAATCTCAAGTAGCAATGACACAACGGGAATTATTAGATTTCACTCTGCTAACCCCTAATTTAATCATAAATCAAGATCACGAAGGAAAGATTTAAAGGATCTGATTATAGCCGTTAGGAAAAAAATTAAATGAAACTTATTGCTTTCTTTTAGCTTTTGTAATGGTTTGGTAACGCTTCTTTTAATATAGATATCTACTATACTGTAACTACTTCTTGCCTTTGGGCCTCGTGTTACAGTCAAGCCAAGTAAGTAAGTCAACATTCGAAAATAAAAATCTCAAAAATCGTACATCTTTGATTTCCAAAATAATTTGTGAGGTGGTTATTAAGATGATACTACATCTTTTAACGTATTAATTTTGAGTACATCTTGAATCCATTCTTAACAAAGCGTTGTCGAAATAAGGATTCGAAATATTTGAGTTCGGGATGATAAAAGTACGTTAAGATATACCGCTCCTTAACAAACTCCTTTGGGAACAAGATATAGAATCAAATGTATATTCTTCTTATTTACTCCCTGACACATGCCATAATGTGTTACATAATGTTAATATCTCCGTTTTAAATAATTTTGTAAACGTTGTTCTCTACAGGTGCCATTTTTTATAATTGAAAAACAAAATTGAACATTTTGCATTTCTAAATTGATTAAGTTTCTTGGAATACAACTTAACTGTTAACGATTGAAGTCATTAATAATATTTCCCTCAGTGATCCCATGCTAAATAGACAGTAACTAGGTTATTATTTTGTGTTCAACCTTGTTTTCATGACTTTTAAACATGAGTCGACAATTATGTAGGAAATTTCAATTCCAAATGTAAGCGTGTCAACTCCTGTTTTTGCACAAAATTTAGCCTTTTATAAAGATTAGATCGCCAAAATCTGCATGTACCTCTCAATGAGGCGACACGTTTTTAAATTTATAGATGCTGAGCTATAAACTCAAACAAAAATTCAAACCACCCGCTATTATTTTGATTACACTAGACGAAATTTCCACTCCCGGGGAGCACTGTGGTAACACTTTGAAGGAGGATTCTTGAAAAATCGTTCGAATTTTCACAAAAGGTTTCACGCAATTTTATTGCTTTGTTTAAGCCTCAACTAAAATCATACTCAAATCCGATACCATGATTATAAATTAAAATGAAACATTAAACATTAAAGGTTATATGATAAACCGTTTCGAGAATTGATGATTTGAGTTAACTGTGTATATTTAAATAAATGTAAGTCGGCATGTATTCGACAGTTAATGTAGACACATGATGTATGCATCCACGTGCGACTTAAATATCGATTCATGACTATCATTTTTGGCTTTCAAAAATTAAGTTGGAAGTTACAGTGGTTGGAGATTAACGAAAACGTCAGTCACATCCGAATATCCGAACGACGTCAAGTATTAACAATACCCTTTCTGTGCATCTCGAACAAGGCAAGGTTCTGTGATCCAGCAATGTGCATTCCGAAAGAAAAAATTCACAAATATCAACAAATTTCATTGAGTTGGATATTACATTCGAAATCACAACTTTCGAAATGTTTGTTTTAAACAAGAATTGTAAGAACCTAAAACATGTTGTTAGTTTTTCAAACCGCATATCCTCATTTACGTTCTTTGACAAGGATGAATTCATTAGAAAACATGGATTTTCTTGATTATTCTTCAAAACTACCCTTGAAATATAAGTATGTGGGATATTACAGTGTAAATTGACACGCATTTGTTTCCTCCATATCATGAGAAAATAAATGCAGTACCATCTTTCAATATTTGGAAACAAAAAGTTCATTCTGTATGTAAACAAAAAAAATACATTTATGGTTGATTCATAATGAAAAATGACAACAAACATACACCTTTTGAAGTAGGGGTATACAGGGACATAGTGGAAATTCAGAAATTTAGGCCATATCCCAAAGACTGCTTCACCAATATGTAACATAACATCAAATTTATCATTTACACGTTTGCTGATTGGTTTATTGAAAATAATTAAACAGAGGTTTACTTCAATTGTGGCACCATTCTTAGTTAATACTGATGAACATACGAATATCGAATGTTGACTAAGTTACTTGACTTGACCGGTTAGCTACTTCTCCCATCTAGGACTACACTCTTAAAAATGAATTACTTGAGTATTTCCCAAGTATAAAAATTACTTAAAGTTAAATACTTAGTTTTACTTCATTTTACTTAGGTTTAACTTATATTGTCATTTTGAGTTTTTTAATTGCTTTATTATGTTAATGAGTATTACAATTACTACAGTAAGTATTTCAATTTCTCTCCTTGCATTAGTAAATTCACCATAAATGAATTACTTAAAAATTATTCAGTAGTTCAAGATTATTTAAGTAATTTTTGACTTAAAATGAGTAATACAATTTCTCAATATAAGGAAATCCAAGTAATAATTTTAAGAATGTAAATGCATTATTGGCAACACAACCACCAAGTACAACCATTTACAATATCCCAATTGCCTTCGTTTATTAGTTAACATTTCTAGCTGATCATAAAAAATGTTTCAAGAATATTTTTCAAAGTGCAAGTAGAACTAGTACTACCCGTGATGACAAGTGCAAATTTCTGGAACTGAACTGAACGATTTCAGCAAAGCAAAGTATTCACTCTACACCCGATCATAACCGACAGGGCCTCTGTATCTTATTACGGCACCTAAATGTAGATATCATCGGTGTTGAACTTCAGGCTGGTAACGTCTGATTGATAAACAGCTTCAACTGTTGTCGGATAAGTGTGCTTAATTTCTTCATGCATCATTGTGTTCACCTTGATCCTGACACGCCTGACTATGCCCAGTTTCTGTAGCAGTAAGTGAGAAGGTCAATGAACTAATTGCGTTTCTTTCTGAAGACAAGTATTTTAATTGTAGTTGATGTATCGAACCTGGAACACATGTTCTTTCATTTTTATCTTAACCTTTTGAACGAAATTTCGATTTTCGTCCTATCGTTTTGTTTTTTATGCTCTATTGTTTTCTGAACCGGTGTCTGAAATAATATTATTCTAGATGTAGTGTACTTGCCTTTCGGCCTATGATATTACACTATTGTTTCTACTAATGTTAAATTGATGTTCAAATGAAATTTATTCTAACTGCCGCCATCTGATATTTTTCTATCGTTTGTAATTGGTTTAACTATTTTCATGCTGTATATTTTTTTCTATTGTTTGTACTAGTGTTTAGATGATGTTTTTCAACTGTAAGATATCATTCTACAATGTGATATTTTTCTATTGTCTGTTCTTGTCTTTATATATTTTTCAACTGTATAATTTTACTGGTGTTCAGATGATATTTTCTACATCTACTGGCTCTATTGTTTGTACTGATGTTTAGATGATATCCTCAGAGTAAAATATGCTTGTCTGTATATTGGTGATAACTAGTCATTCTTTGGTATAAGAACAATCTATTAGGAATACATCCACTAT